TGTCTCATCCAGCCGCTCTCTGGCTGGCTGGAGTGCAGCATGCCTCAAGACAGGGGAGCAGGCAGCCTTGGCCTGGCTGCTTCCCTGTATCCATGTGCTTAAATGAGGGGGGAGGGGGTTCCACTGTGGAGCCCCTGTGCTGAGACATGTGGAGCCCCCATCTCAAGGCACACAGTGCCCCCAGTTAGCTGCAGAGCAGCTGGCTGGGGAGCAGTGTGCCTCAAGGAGGGGGAGCAGGTAGCTCTCTGAGATGGCTGCTCCCTTGTCCCCGTGTGCCTCAGCACAGGGGATCTGCAGTATGCCTCCATGTGCCTCAGTGCAGGGAGGGCGGGACTTCACAGTCCCCTGGGCTGTCTGCTCCCCCGTTTCCATGTACTGCTCCTCAGCTGGCTGGGGCACAGGATACCTCATCAAGGGGACTACCTGCTGGCCCACCCTGTGCTGATGCACCCTGTGCCCCAGCCAGCCCCCCCGTAGCACATGGAGCAGTGGGAAAACGTGTTCCACTGCAAACGACATGAGCAGGGTGTGCACTGCAGCACAAAGCAGCAGCACAAATTTGTGCCACTGCTATTTTTGCTACTGTAAACACAAGCCCCTGCTTGTGTGGATGCAGCCAATGTGTAGTGTTTGTTGGTCTCTATTTTGATCACATCTTTATAATACTGGGAAAGAACAATTGAGGATAGACAACAGCTCAATATTCTCCACATGTCAATACAGAAGTAAACTTCTCAGGGACTGCTTTGAAATCCCTTGCTTATAGTTTAATAAGAACACTGTTTAGTGGATGGATGGGGCACCACTTTTTCAGGATGAAGTGGTAATGTTAGATATTTATTCTGGTTGAAGAACTGTATTTCACTGTGTAGAATATGGTTTTGTCCTTATTTATACAGAGGATGTTTTATTCTTTTATATTCTATGAAGCACACTCCACCATTATGTTTCAAATAATCAGAGTGATACATAGTTGCTAATAAGTGTACTTCAACATTTTGTCTATTAGACTAACATGCCTGGATATTTAAGTTGAATTCAGCCCACTGTTGACAGTCACATTTTCATGCTAAGCAGCTGTCCATAGATTTAAAAGCAAATGTATTCTTCCATTAAAAAGTGAGGGTTCTTTGTAGTAAACTTATTAACCTTAATAGAAATTATACATTTCCATATCCCAGACGTTTCTTAATTGTTAATAATAATAGAAGAAAAGAATACTATACATAGTATATAACATTTTAATTGAGCCCATGTGGGAGTGACAGGGTTTAATAACTCTTGAATTCACATACTGCATGAGAAATCATTTATTTTATTTTCAGCATGTGCTCTGAAATCAAGGTCTCCTCCTCAAAGTATTTTCAGGCTAAGCCACTTTGTCTCTAAACTCAGAGGCTCAGGATCAAATCTCTATCTCACTGACACCCAGTAGCATAACCTGGGGTGGGCAAGCAGGACACTAGCTCCAAGTTTAGATTAAGAGGGGCACCAGAATAGCAGCCCTTGATGAGCTTGCACCACATTAGGATCACCCTGCACTACAGCAGCAGTGGCAGCAATGACCCATATGCAGAACTTAGGACTCAACCACTCAGCAACCCCCTGCTTGAGGTGCCAGAATTATGAACAGCCAACACAAAAATAGGCTAAAATGCCTATCCATAAAGTCTATAAAACATTGAGTCATCCATAAAAAACTAAGCAACCAGGAGCTTGACTGAGATCCCTTGTGGGAAAGAAGATGGAGACAAATATTAATGAATAGATGGAGCAGAATAGTGCCATCTGTTGTCTGAGCAGCGGTATAATACCCTGAAGGGAGAATTCTCGCAGACCTTTCTATGCCATGGGAGCCTCCACAGCCTCAACCTACCTCTGCCCCAGCTATCTGCTGATGCTGCTATGTCCTGTTGCTTGCCTACACCACTGCTGGGTCACAGGTAGGCAGACAACTGTCCTCCTTTGGGGGTCAGTGCTGCGATGGGGGAGGGGGTGAGGCTTCTAAGGGTAAGGCTTGAGGGGGCTGGAGGGGCAGCATGGTACGGGCTGTGGTCAGGGGCATTGAGGTGTGGAGGTGAGTAGAAGACCCCAGGGCAACTTGACTGTGGGCTCTGGGCTGCTGGGGAGGGGTGCATACTCAGACATGCAGCCAGGCTTGCAGCCAGCCAGGATCACAGTCCAGGCATGTGGACTGCTGCCCAGCACGACAGCCAGGCAAGTTTCAGTGTACAGTACTATGTGAAGGGGAATGGGCTTGGGGGAGGGGGAGAACATCAAGGCCCCCACAGTGCAGGTGGGAGTGGGACAGAGGCAGGGGCAGGCAGGGGCTGGGGTGAATGGGGCCCCAGGGTGGGTCATGGGATGCTCAGAGCCTATACGGCTCATCCAGGGGTGCAGGGGGGGTGAGGGTTCCCACCACAATGTGCACCCCGGGGGAGGCAAGAGGGGGGCACATGCCCCCTGATCTGTGCATGGGCTGGAGGCAGGCTGCCACTGTGGGCTGGGTTCTGTACCCCGCTGCCTTGAGAGCTGAGTGACGCCACGTGTGTCCCATTGCTGGGCTCTGTGCCCTGCGCATGGCAGGCACATGGTATCATGTTGTTCCCAGGCAGTGGGGCACAGACTGCAGCCCACCTCTGCCCTACACACAGATCTGGGGTCATGTGCTCCCCGTGGCTCTGCCAGGGTGCATGCAGTGGTGGGAGCCCTTCCCTCACTCCCCGGATCAGCTGTCTGGGCTCCGAGCATCCCACAACCTGCCCCAGCCTCAGGGCCCCATTTACCCCAGCCCTGCCCCTGCTTCTGCCCCACTCCCTCCCTCTTTATGAGGGCCTTGATCTGCCTCGAACATGCCCCTTCCCCACAACACACTTACCTGCGCAGAGATGAGGGGAAGGGGTGTGCGTGCACGCACAAACATGCACACATGCTCAGACCCCCAAAATAATATTTTCTCCCTCTACCTATGGTTCTGGAGAAAAGGTTCCAGCAACAAGCGGCTCTTGGTCAGATTTTCACAGGTGCTGAATACCTGTAGCTTCCATTGTAGGGAAGGAAACGATAGGCTCTCCATCCCTTTGGAAAAATTTGTCCCACTAATCAGTGATCCTTTTTTCTCCTCAATATAACAAGGATACTACTTACTTAATCACTGCAAATATTAACCATATATTTTTTCAGCATACTGAAGATAAAGCTCTACATAAGTGCTAAGTATCAGTCATTGCTCAAAGTGATCATTTCAGTAAGGAAACCATTTTAAATTCAGCTAAATGCAACCATGGGTAAACAGACACATGTCCCATGGGACTTTCTGGACCAAACTCATCAAACACGTAAACAGTGGGGAAAGTTACACATTGTCTATAAATTAACCAGAAAGTGGCAAGGCAGCATAACGGTCATCTCTTTCAAAGTATACATTAATTTTGTTAATATTAAGTATGCTACACTTTCACATAGTCTTGTATCAAAATTAATAAGGACACCCACAAACTATTTAATTATTATTCATATAAAATACCTCATGTTTATTGATTTCATAGTAAGATTAAACAGAATGTGCATTGCATTATTTTCTGCAAAATAGAGGCCTTGTAAAAATGCTACAATTTAATTTACTCATATCTATTTAGCTATAAATTAATTAGGAGAAACTGAATGTAAAATTCTAGTAAATTCACGTTCAAACAAGAGGCAGAATTAACTAATAGGTTAAATGATACCTTAATTTCCAATCTGTACCAAAAGACATATTACAACACCAGAGAACAGCGGTGAGACACATAATGAATGCATCATGTCATTATATGCTTCAGTTTCAACTGGTACAGTTGAGGGTTGCTGCCCATACTATTCATTATGACTAAAAAGATGAATCAGAAATGTACAATGTTATCTCAGTGGGGCTAGATGCAGATCCTCATAATAAACAAAATGGAACAAACAACCTAGATGCTTTGAAACCATTTCTTCTAAGTCACTTAAGGAGGAGTGCTTTAAATAGAGCGGCTCCAGGGGGCCACTCTACTTAAAGTGCCCACAACGTCTTGTGTATTCAGTGTCCTGCACTTCAAAATGGTGGCGAGCTTTAGTTAAAGCGCCCCCACCATCATTTTGAAATGTGGGGTCACTGAATACACATGACACCGAGGCTGCTGGAGCATGCTAACTGCAACGCATTGGAGCAGGTGTTGTGTTAGGGTAGCTTGTCATATTTTATGCTTTAAAGTTGCACCTGTTTACAGAGTGGTGAAGTATAATATTGTTTAAAGTTTTCTTGTATATTCAACCTCATTTAATCATTGCTTAAGTTCTGTGTAGCTTCATTATCTCAACTTTTCATTTTGCTGGTGTCTGCAATATCAGCTGGCCTTGCCTCTTACAAGCAGCTTATGACCTTGAGTTTGCTTGCATGATGTTTATTTCTTTTCTATCACCTTGAGAAGTTTTTCTAACACAACATAGTAATAGTTTTGTTACCAGCTCAGGGTAACCACAGGTTGCATGGCAGGAGGCACAATTGTGTGGATCACACATTAGATCCCATTGCGCCTTTACCTGCACATGTAGAGGGGCCCTAAGTGCCATTATCAGCCAAAGAGCCATTGCTTAGCTCTGGATGCCAACCAGGCTTGGTTGTAATCTAAGGTGTCAAGCTGCTCAGCCTTGTTAAGGCTGGGGCAGTTCTGGGCATGCATCCAGGGTTCCCACAAATACTTGAAGAGCTTAACAACAGTGGAGCATGTCACTGTTCTCTGAATTAAATGCCTCAGTTTCACCTAAGCCCTGCTTTGGCAGCTACATCCTTTTTCAGCTCTGGCCCAAGTCCATGACACAATTGATCAGAACCACCATATTCATCTGATATGAATTGGCAGAGTTGCAGGATTTCAAAACCAAATGTAACTTGTCCCACTAAGAAGTTGGTCAGGATGCAGTGAGAGTCAAAAGCTAGGATTTGCATCAGAAGAATAAAGAGAACAAACAGTACTTACATCCACCTCTTCACAGAAAGTAGCATTGGGACCATACTGCAGCTGGCACTGATGATGTACATCATAGATAACACCAGGGGCAATGAGAGGGGATTTTAAAATCTTCTTCTTTGGGATATCATCCAGGCAGAATCCCCACCCTCGGCTAAAGATGAAAGTGACAAATTAGAGACACAAAAGACTCATGATTTTTTTAATTTCTGAAAATGATCTAATAATTTAAATTTACTGATGGCTCTTTCCCATGCGGTCCTTACATAATAATGCTTCCAGATTTTAGCTGGGGCAGTGGTGGACTTTGAGCAAATATGCTGTTATTTCCAGTAATGTTTAGTTGTGGGAAGAGCAAAGAACTTTAAAATCTAGGAGCAGCTGCTCATTAAGGAAAAAACAACATATTGCTTTCTGTATTCTTACCAGCCCATTGTTCAAATCCTACATTTTTTAGAAGGCCCAAGGTATGCAAATGCAACAAAAAATATTGTGATTCTGCTGTGTGGTAGGTCATGGCTGCTATGTAGCTTTTAGCAGCTCTCATCTCTTCCAATGCTTTATGGAAAAGATTTTTGCAGCAACTTTCTTCGTACCATCAAGTAAGAGAATTTCATATGGGAAAAATATGATTTTTCCATTGGAAATACAATGAAATGCCTATAGCTATTAGAATGACCTCAATGAGACCTGCAGCCTCTCACAATATCACCACAGGTGTCACATTAAAAAAAAAAATGTAAGCTTGGACACATCACTTAGGCCCATAGGAATTCTAGCAATAGAACCAAAGCCCCTTCCTGTGCCTTTTCTGCCAGTAACTCATGATGGCTGTGGGTCCCACCAGATGTTGAACTCAGTTGATAACAAAGTCTAAGTTGAAACAGTATATAACCAAGCTTCCAGAAATCAGTGTGTCCAGCTCAGTCAGTTTTGGAAGCGCCATGGCATGAGAACCGGTAATGTCAAAGGATTCCACTACACTGGGTAGATATCACATTCTATGCACTCACTCTAGGAAACGGGTGATGTATTCCTTGCTGCACTGTGACCAGGTAAGTGGAGAAGGGTCATACTGTAGCTGCCGGGACATGATGTATGGACGCTTTCCAACAGGCTCACAGTCATTATCTTTTCCATCATGCTGGATACCAAAACTGAGAGACATGTTACCAAGCACAAGAAGCAATCACTGTAGCCACTGTTTACATAGCACCTTTCTTGTAAAAACCCTGTAGTGTGTAGGAAAATGTACAAGTATCATTTTATTCATCAGTTAAAAATAAACGCCCCATAAAGAGCCTGAGACACAGAGTACAGAAGTCTCCCACTAACTTCAATGGGTTTCAGATCAGGCTCAGAGTAAACGGCAACTATCCAAACAAAAACTAACACAAACTTCCCTGACTGAAACTGTGAGAGTTTTAGGGAGTCATAATATCTTTATCCAATTTGAATTTGCTCACAGCCTCACAGTGTGTACCTCTTCTCTAGCAGAAGTGCTAAGGGATTTGCTCTATGCCTTGTGCATAAGACAATGCCTATTAGTGCCATTAATTTGGTAATGACTCTGAGGGAAGGAGTAAAATAGAATCATTAACATGACTTCCTGAAGCACACTTGTTCATCCCTGGGCAGGATAAACCTTGTTTAATCCAGGAGGGCTGATAAAGATCACAGAATGAGGATGGGGACTGCTGTGAGTGACTTTTGAAAGACAGACATTTTAGGGACATATTGCTGAAAGTTTGGGCAACAGCAAAAGCAATATCTGTCCCCAGAATTACAGGCTACATTTTGTTTTTAGTTTTAGTTGTTTTTAGTTGTTTTTAGTAAATGAAAAAGAACTCCATTCACTTCAGGAGTTACTCCAAACTTTCAACATTATAGAACTAGTGGCAGAATTTGATGATCAGTTAGTACTGATTTTCTTGCATAATCATTTACCCTGATACCATGCTTTTCTTTTTATTTATCATTTTAATGGTGTCACATGTGATTGATTGATTTCTACAGATGTGCTGCCTCCCACATTGTCATACATTCATGAAATGATCAGTAAATTGGTCTCTAATTTCCTCATCATTTCTCTCTATTTCATCATACTGTACATTGAAAACAGATCATCTTCACAGCATGTCCTCCCCAAAACCCCTCAGAACTCAGGTTTATCTAACTCCTTCAAGTCTTTTTGATCCCAATAAGGAGTGTTTTAATGAATAGCTTGTAAAAACCATAAACAAAAAACATCTTGCTGAAACACCAGTGCCTTTGTAGGTTGTTACAGTACCACACACAATGGGCATGTATAGACAAAATGAGGGGCATGAGTGCACAACACTTGAAAGCGGGTTAAATGCTTTTGCACCACTTCAATAGTGTTGGTGTTTGCATGCATCAGTGATATATTGCACATTAATTCCAGCTGCTGTAGCATGTTCAGTGGCATAATGAGCCTTATATGACTATGGGGCACAGCAAACTAAAACACCTCCGAGGAGTTTTAGTTTGCTAACCCACAGCCATAGCTCAGGGGCTGTGCAGGCAGCCCATGTAGGCAGCCTGGCAGCAGCCCAGAAAGGCAGGCTCCACTGAAGGAAAAAAAAAAAGCGGTGAGCCAGATCTTTTTTTTTTTTTTTTTTCCCTTGGAGCCTGCCTGCCTGCCTGAGCTATGCAGGAACCCAGTTCTTCCCTCCATGGCTGCTGTGCCCTCCAGGACCACCCGAGTCGGATGCCTTTGGGCGGGTGCTGCCTGGGGAGGTGGGGGAGCAGGTGGGGGTTGCTGCTGCCATGGACGGAAGCACCAGCTCCCTCCCCCACCAGCAGGCCAGGGACCACTCCGCCCACCAGCAGCTCGCCCTCCCCTCCCTGCCGCCGGAGAGGCAAGACATGGGTGTATATGACACGGAAGTTTACTTTGCTCTAAATTGAAGCGGTGTTTTTAAAAACCCACCACTTCAATTTAGGGCTGCCATTTCAGCTACATACCCCCTAAGACTCTCCAATGAATCAAAAACCTCTAAAACTTTAAAAATCTTTTTTTCTTGAAAACATCATTACAAAATGACCCAAGAGCTCTAAAAATGTATGCCTATCTTATTCCTTCTTCCACAACTTCTTTTCAACATTTACAAGCTGTTCTCTGCTCCCCTTCTAGGTACATACGTAAGGAATAAGGGTTTGATTTTCAATAGCACCTAAATCCTTTAGACATGCTGAGAATTACTGACTGAAATAGCATGCACCAACAACTGACTATCAACGGGGCATGGTGGGGGTGTGGTCTGGCCCTGATCCAACCACAAGAGGGGGAAGGGGCATGGCCTGGCCCCATGAGGGGGAAAGGGGATGTGGCTGCCACATGGGACTTGGGCTTTGGGAATTTGGCCATGGGGGAAAATGACCTTATTAATGATCACTGCTCTCCCACTGCCAAATTTTGGATCTAGGGCCAGATGCAATGGCTCCATGGGCAACAGGTGGCCTGCTGGTTGGAAGTTGAGCACTTCTGGGATAGAGGGTACAGCCAGTCTGGAATTTTTCAGAGTAAAAAAAACAATTTTAACATAAAATATTTTATTTTGATTTCTCCCCTACAAAAAAATAAAAATAAGGTAAGAATCGAGTATTTTAAGTAGTAGACCTGACTTTAAATATATCACTTTGAGTCTATCTAACTTTAAACTGCATTTCCCTGTTGTGGTAAGTTGTCTCATGGGAATTATTGTCCAGATACCTGAAATTCCTATTTTCTCCTATAGGCTGGTATCCCTGTCTAAATTACATTTCCCATGATGCAATGCAGGCTCACTGGAGAGACCATACAGTTGTGCTCTATGAGGCTGTGTCCTACAATAGAGAAATACTTTCTGAAGCTGTACAGTATCAAAAAAATCAGATCCATTCAAAAAATAGCCAAAAAAATTGACCTCAGGAATATCAAAATATAGTTTAACTACAAAAATGAGGAAGTTAAATATAAGGCATTTCTGAATCCACTTTGCATGTAAAGCTGCATTCCATGGGAAAAAATGTATCTCCAATTTGATCCCGATTTGGGACAAAAACACAGGTTGAAATACTGAAATTCCTTATGGAATGGAATTACTGATTTTTTGCTCTGGCAGATCTGATAAACATGATTGAGCTCCTTAAGGCAGGGGGTGTCAAAGTCACCAGGTCCTGACCATGGGACTCTTTGTGGGCCAGTTCCAGCCCCAGGCACAAGGTGGCTCTGGAAGCAGCAGCTCCAGCTGCAACCCAGTGCACATGGCAGTGATGGTGGTAGCAGCAAAGCTCCCAAAGCATACTTCGCATGCCAGAGGCAGAGCCAGAGCATGACTGCTGCAACATGCCTTGTGTCATGGCAGCAGCTCATGGGGCACATGGCAATAACAGTTTCAGCTTCAGCTCCAGTGCTGGCATGTGGCAGCAGCACAGCTAGCAGCCAAGGGGGTAGGACTGGTTTGGTGGTGATGGGCAGAGTGGCTAGAGGGTGATCAGGTTTATACCAGCCCTAACTTGCCCTCCTGCAGCTGATGGCCATGTTCCCCAGGGCCCAAGGGTCCCAGGTTCTATGACAGACCACTTCCCTGGGCATACCTCCTACTTCCAATAGACTGCCGATAGCCCAGCGGCCAGGTAGAGCAGCTCTGCACCCTGAATCCAGCTCGCAGGCTACATATTTGACACCCCTACCTTAGAGGATAGCTGTATTTCCTCACTTACATAAAATCCAGAGTAAACTATATATTATAGGGCTGTGCAAAATTTCACTGGCCATTTCATTTCAGCACTGTTTCGACTCATTTCAAGGTCAAAACAGCAAAATTTAAATGAAACACAGGGCCTTGAAACAAAACAAGGCTAGTCAAAACATTTTGAAAGTCGAACTGTTTCGATCATAGCGCTGGGGATGGGAAGTCAGTCCAGCTGGGCTGACTTCCCATCCCTGGCGCTAGATCGGGCCAGGGGCAGGAAGTCAGCCCAGCTGGGCTGTCTTCCCATTCCCAGTGCTAGATCAGCCCAAGATCCCTCAGCCCTGCCCCTGGCCCAATCTAGTGTGGGGGATGGGAAGCCAGCCCAGCTAGGCTGAGTTCCCCTCCCCAGGACCACCATCACACAGGGCTGACTCCCCAGCCCTGGCCCAATCTTGCGCTGGAATAGGAAGTCAGCCCAGCCCGATCTACCTGGGAATGGGAACTCAACCCAGATTGGGAGAATTACCTGTCCACCAGAACTCCAGATATTCAAACCAAGAGCTTCTTGAATTGTACCCAGAAGCCATATTGCACCCAGATTCCTTCCAAGCCATAAACATTGTGCTTACACATTTTATTGCTTTTGCATATAAATGACAGATATAGATGGAGGCTGCAATTTGCCCAAAGCACCTGAAGCAAGATAAGCAATAGGGATTAGGCTCATTGAAGGCCTGATCCTCAAGTCAGCCCTGTAGTGTGAGGCTCTAAGGTGAGCGAATATTATAAAGGGAAATATATTTCAAAGGAAATGTCACTAATGAGCAAACGCCTTCACAGATATTTTAAGTCAAGACTTTTCAACCATCCTTTTTCTCCAGAAATGTCTATCCCAGAATATACAGAATGCCAAACATATTTAGGAGGGAAATGCTTTTTACTTTCCACTATACCTGTGTCCAAGTTCATGTGCAATAGTGAATGCCAAGGGCAATCCAGAATCTTCATTAATATTACAGCTCCGGTGAGGTTGACACATACCAGACAGATGAGACAAACCCAAGGTTTCACAGGGACGATTCATGCCAGCACAAATGTCCTTCCTGCAAAAACAGTCAAGACTCACAGTTTAGAGAATATAAAAAGTGTGCTTATGCCAGGTGGTAAACTCATACTATATTAATATTAGTGAGAATTTTAAGCAAAGGGTGAAACCTAGCATTTATGCTGGCATTCTGTACTTACGAATGTTATTCACCAGAAAATACGTATATTGTGGTAGTGCCTAAATACTCTAATTGGGACAAGGGCCTGTTTCTGCTGAGTTTTATAGAAACAGAGACAATGCAAGTCCTGAAGGCCTTTCAGCCTGAGAACACAGACTAAATGGAAAAGATGGGGGTACAAAAGAGAAGCAAATGAATGTGGTGAAGAAAAGGCATTTCTTTAGTAGTTACACGGAGTGCAGTAGACAGTTTTGTTTTTCCGCTGGGATTATACAAGCAGGGGGGAGGAAACAGGAAGGGAGCAGTATAGCTATTATGTGTCATCTGCCTAACCAGGATCAAGAGGCTGACTTGTAAACATCCAGGAAGTGCCTCTTAAGGAGGTATCTAAAAGAGAATAAGGTAATCGTGGCTCAGAATTTGCCAAAGAGTTAATCCAATGCAGCACAGGAGAAAGAACATATGAAAAGCTGACTGATAGGCAGCTAAGGCAGAATGAAAGTCAGAGTCAGAGTTATGGTGCTTTACTAAATCAGGGAGGCTGCTGCAGGCTCTTGATTAATGGACAATTGCACTGTTTTTTTCCCAAATGTAGGGATTTTGTTTTCTTCCCAAATCCCTGCTGTTGGCCACAAAATGCAGTCTCTTCCACTGAAAGATTCTGTGCTTAGAAAAAAAAACAGAAAGTAGACACATCTGAAGTGCAACACAAGCATGATAAACTCTTTCACCTGTCATTTTCCTTGTCCTTGAGATCTATGGGTGGCCAACCTGTGGCACATGTGTCACAAGTGGCGCAGAGAGCCTCTGTATGTGGCATGGGACAGATCAGGGAGGGCTCAAGGAACACAGGAACACATAGGGCAATGAGCAGAAAGCAGAGTAACAGTTTGAGCAGAAGCACAGGGAAAGGAGCAGAAAGCAGACCAACAGATGGAGCAGGGGAAAGGGATCACAGTAACACTCAAGGCAGCACAGGGCTTACTATGTGACATGCTTGCCAAAAGGGCTGGCTTCCACTGCTGTACACCAAGCTCAATGCTCGGGTAGAATTCCTTCAAAGGAAGAGGACAGTATAACTGCCAGGGTGACATTGTCTCCTTTCCTCTCTATGGGAGGGGGCACTATATAGTGAAGACAATAGTGTTCCTCTCTCTTCTTAGGACAATATCTTATCATAAAAGTAGTGGTAAAAGTTTTTTTTTGGAAAGGCAGGAAAATATGGCAACTGAACGTTATAGATGTTGAGGGGTTTCACACCTATTCATCTGAAATACTGACTGCTATAGCAGCTAAGATCCCCTGCTCCATTTAAACTGCACCCACACGTGGAAAAACCTATAAAACTCCTGCCTATCATAGCATTCTGTATAGTAGAGACATTCATGTTGATTATTTGAAGTCTGAGAGGCTCGTGCCTGGTAAAGATCACAGGGAGAATCTTTTAACATTAACCAAGGTATTTTATTAGATTAACTGAATAAATAGCACAAGTCCTAAAGCTACTCTCATTTCAGTTCACTTTCAAGTTTCTACTTACATTTTTCCCCAGGTCTTTGCTTGCCTGGTCTCATACTACTTTTTTAAGTAAACTGAGTATATCATCTCATCTCATTAAGTCATTGCAAGGGGCCTACAGATGGTTGGCAACTGATGTGCTATTTTAGAGGAAGCAATAATCTACAGAGCGTGGCTTAAATGCCTTGCAGGCTTTTAAAGCCTATTCCGATCTCTCCTTTGTCTATTTTGTCTTCTCAGCCAGCAGGGCAGGATTGCTGCTCCATTGCTAGCATCAAACAACTGAGTTCTGAAGCCAGTAAACCCTGTAATCAAAAGGCTTAGTTATTCTGTTTTCATCTCTTTAAACCAGTATAAGAGCATATATTAAAAAAAATCTATTTTTACTCTGGGTTGGAAAAGCTATTATAGTGACTCAGAAGTTACTAAAATGTGCCTCTCAACCTGTGCCTCAGTACGGTATCTAGCGAAATGGCGATTTTTGTAGCCGTTTCCTGCAGCGTATCTAGGTAACACGTTATGTGGACAAGGGCCCTACAGCTAGCTATGGGAGGTACCTTTTCACCCCCAGGTTCAATAGGATTTGGCTTTGGATGGGGAGGGGAAGGGTAGTTGGTTGTAGCCGTGTTTGTCTAAGGACATAGGCAGACAAGGTTCTTTGGGAAGAAGTGATTTCTTGTATTGGACCAACTGAGGGGAAGGGGAATCACTCTTGATCTTAGCTCCTCAACTCTGGAACATCCTCTCAAAAGGAACACTACAGGAGGTCCCAGCTCAATAATGGGGGGCTAATTTATAAAGCCTGTTCATTTGAGCAGATACATTATGAAGCATTTTGTGATGCCTGCCTTTGTTCCCATTTTTATTTTTAGGACTTGCTGATTCCTTTTTTTTAATTCTCTGTGTCAATTAGAAATTGTTTCCCTCTGTCTGATGGCCTTGTTGAGCTAAAAATTGCCTTTTTGCCAAATAGTTGTTTCAGTCAGGGGTCTACATAGACTCATTGAGTCTTTTGCTTTTAATCTAATGTTTCACATTGTTTTTATTATGTGGTAAGAATGCTGCCAGTTTTTTCACAAAAATAATTTAATTCCTGGAAAATGCAGTTCCAGGGCAACAAAGCTATTCACTAATTTGGCTTGAGTTCAGCTACTGGTTTCAGGCAGGAAAAATGTTTCAGAAAAATCTTTTTCTACATCTTAAAATGCTTTTTTTCAACATTCCCTATGACCCTATCAAATTAAATATTCCAAATTGTCCTTTGGAAGTGATATTTCAAGGCCATTTTAAAAAAGTGAAAACGAAATTAGAATTGTAGGGTTGGAAGGGACCTCAAGGATCAGCTCGTCCAGCTGCATGCAATACTCTAGCTGAGGTACAATAACCACACATGTTTTACATACTATATTCCTCTTGTTAATGCAGCCCCAAATGCTCTTGCTTTTTTGGCAACAACATCACATTGCTGGCTTTAGTTAACACTGTCATGCACCAAAAAATCCCCTGTATCTAGGCTTTGCAGGAGTCAATTTTTATTGGTAAATGACAATACATATCAATTTTACCTCACACTCACAGACAGATGAAAAAATATTTCCATTGTTAATCATCAAAATTTATAGAAAGGGGATGTAAGAATAGGCTGCTGCTGCAGTGTCCGGGAGGGCTTTCGCTGATCAGTGGCTGCACGTGAAGGGGGGTGGGGGGCTGTGTGTGTGTGTGTGTGTGTGTGTGTGTGTGTGTGTGTGTGTGTGTGTGTGTGTGTGTGTGTGTGTGTGTCTCCCTGTCCCTGCCCCCTCAGGGTGCTAGCCAGCCAGGCCCTCCCTTGCAAACTTGGGCAGGAGCTGGTACAGGCAGAATAAGCCCCTGGCTCCAGCGGGCAGATGTGATTCCAGCAGCCAGGGGTTTCCTTGCTGGGGAGTGAGGCAGGGTGCCAGGGGGCAGCAAGCACCAGGGGACAAAGGAAAGTGGGCTCTGAGTTCAGTGACTCTTTCTACAGGGACTGGACTGCAAACTGACAGTCTGGCAGCACAGCAACTTCCCCTGTGTATGTTGTGTGCTGGGCTGGAGGAAGAAGCAGGCACATTTGTGTGTGCGTGTCTGTGTGTGTGTGTGCATATCCTACACCCTTAATTTCATGCAATCCTGGAAATTTAAATTGATAAAAATCAATATAAATGCTTAAAAATAAACATTGATTTTAGCCGTCAAAATTATTAAAAAATTAAAATTAAATCCTGCCAAAGCTACCTGTGTCTCTCTCAGCAATGCTACTGCTAACCAATCATCTTCCATTCTGTATTTGGGCATTTGTTTTTCTTCCCTATGTGGAGCACTTCATATTTCATCAAATCATTGAAAAACAGGGGTGGAAGGGACTCTCAATAGGTCACCTAATCCAACCCCCTGCTCAAGGCAGGATCAACCCTTTCTACAATATTCCAGCCCAGTGTTCGTCGAACCTATTCTTAAAATCTCCCAGTTGCTCTAGATCGCCTGTTCCAATATCTAACCACCCCCAAAGTGAGAGAGTTCTTCCTAATATTCAACCTAAATTTCCCTTGCTGTAATTTAAGATCATCACTCCTTGTCCTGTCCCCTGCAGCCACACAGAACTGTTTAGCACCATCTTCTCTATAACTACCCTTCAGGTATTTGAAGACTGTTCTCAAATCCCTCCTTAAACTTCTGTTCTCCAGACTAAATAACCCCAGTTCTTCCCACCTTTTCTCATATGTTTCTGAGACCTCTAATATTTTTGTTCCTTTCTTCTGAGCCCTCTCCAATTTGTCTGCATCTTTGTTTTTCCTGGAGTTCATACTTTTGTCTCGTGCCCAGTAGTCAAGATCCCTTAGAATTCTACTTATATCAGAAGACTGCAAGTCCTAGTTTTGTATCATCTGCAAACTTGATGTGAAAGCTCTTTATCCCTGCATCCATGTCAATAATAAAAATGTTAAATGTCATTGGACCCAGAACAGACCCCTATGGAACCCCAGTTGAAACATCCTGCCATTCTGGCATTAATACATTTAGAATTATTTTCTCCTTGCATTTATTCAACCAGTTATTTATCCACCTAACAGTGATTTTGCCTTGAATTATTCGAATCTCTGCTCCTCAGCCCACATTTCTCTAATTTACTTATGAGAATGTCATGTATCAAAACCCTATTAAAGTCCAAGTATATTATTCCCATTGCATTCACCTAATCCAAATTTAAGGCCCTGTCAAAAAAGGAAATCAGGTTGGTTTGGCATGATTTGTTTCAGGAAATCTATGTTGGGTCCTAGTGATAATCCCTTTCTCCTCCAGCTGCTTACAAATTAACTGTTTTTGTAATTTATTCCAGTAACTTC